CTAGAGTAGAAAGAAAACTCCTCCTACAAGCTTTAACCAGTGCTCAGCTCAAGACACAAGCCTGCTCTAACTGCTGATGAGAAAAGGTGTTTAGCAGTTTATATTTACTAAAATAATTGCACTTCCATATTCTATGAATGCAGGGTCTTGGGTTTACTAACACGTTAACCGCTTTCCTGCTGCCCTATAGCAAAAATCCTGCTGCAGATGATTTTGCCATTGCCGGCCTCAGCTGTCAATCCCCGGGTCCCCGCCAGTGATTGCTCGCTGGCACCTGGCAATCGCCTAGTATCACTGACGGGGGAGAGACCTATATGTAAACAATACAGATTTCTCCCCTGGCAGCTCCTGCACATTACAAAAAAAGGGTGCAGTGCTAAAATGGAAAATATGAGATATTGCATACAATATAAACATATGATGTATATATAACCTGTATTGAAATGCAAATAAATGAATAATGTGACTTCAATGTGTCAAACCATATGAGTCACTATGCCTGACCAAAAGAGTACATAATTAAAGTGCAAAAAATAATAAACACAATGATCTCCATATATGGAGTATACGCGTCACCCCTACATGACCACACGTGCATAAATGGTGATAAAGGAAATGTATTGTGCAAAATTAAACATGAATCAATTCAATATATAAGGTATATACTTATTATTTTTTGCACTTTAATTATGCACTCTTTTGGTCAGGCATAGTGACACATATGGTTTGACACACTGAAGTCACATCATTCATTTATTTGCATTTCAATAAAGGTTATATATACATCATATGTTTATATTGTATGCAATATCTCATATTTTCCATTTTAGCGCTGCACCCTTTTTTTGTATTGTCTTTTTGGAGGTTATTTGGTGCCTTTTGGTGTTTTAGCTCCTGTCATATTTTAGCTCCTGCACATTGCTTTGTACGGCTTAACCACTTGCCTACCTGGCCTTTAATGAATTTTAATGTACAAAAAAACAATATAAAACCCAACTGTTTGGTAAAATAAAAAAGATGATGTTACATGGAGTAAGTAGATACCTAACAAGTCACACTTTAAAAATGCACATGATCATGTAATGGTGCCAAACTACGGTATTAAAAAATCTCCATAGGCAGCACTTTAATTTACTGGTTACTAGTTTAGAGTTACGCAGAAGGTCTGGTGCTAGAATTATTGCTCTCGCTATAACATTTGCGGCGATACCCCACATGTGCATAGTGAACACCATTTACATATGCACTTACATGTTTACATGTTATTTATTTTATTTAATTTTTTTTGCATTTTTTTTTAGCAACTTTATTGCTACCACATGACCAACATCCCTTGTGCTAGCTTGGGATGTGAGAGGTCCTCTTTATAGAGAGATTTGGGGTCTATTAGACCCCAGATTTCTCCTCTGGCCTCCAAAGCAACTGATCAGATAGATCGGTCTGGTCGGCTGCTTCACTGGCCGGTAACTGGCCAGTAAGCACAAAGCTGAAACCGGAAGTGACAAAATACTAGCCCCTTCCAATTTTTTTTGACCATAGAGATGATCAGGGACCTATCCCTAAGCTTGAGCACTGTCATATAACACGGTAAAAATATCACCACTCCCCTCAGCACTGGGGATTTTGCTACCAGCTGCAATGAAGAAAACAGCAGTGGGTGGTGGTGGGGTGCTTAGTATCTATGGAATGGGAGGAAGCCAGGTGGTCTATGCATGCAGCCTGCAGTATATACATGAACAGTCAGGTTACCCAAGCATTTTTGTTTATAGAGGAGAGAAGAAACAAAACAAAATCAAATACATTTTACTTAAAAGAATGTAATTCAGAAATGTATATTTTAGTAAATCTTTCGTGTTATGTGTGGGATTTACAGCCATTCAGGTTTATATTTTGTGCTTTTAAGAGCTGATGCGCTGAAATGAATGAAGATGTTAACTATTTCAAGATGATCATTGTCTCTTGTAAGATACGTAGTCCTCAAGTTTCTCAAATCTTTCTATAGTGCAAGGGCTGCACTTGAAAATAATCCTCCCATAATTGCATTACAAACTGACAAAGAATAATTGCGATGGGAAAAAAAGGTCACATCCAGCTGGATAAAGCTGTGGACATCCTAAATGCAACACTTATCATCACAAAGTGTGAGATATTATCTGCTCGTTCTTCACTGGCTAGAAAAGATGAAGTCATACACTGGAATCCAAAGTGCTTCATTCATCTTCCACCAACTATCTGGAACATATTTTTCAGCATCCAACAGCCCTGTAAGATTCTTGACATAAAAAACCCTTGATATGTAATTTCGAGAAGATGGCTTCTCTTGTGACACCTCATATATCGTCTCAGGTCATATCATGTCAAAAAAAAAATATATGAATGTGTATTAAGAGTTAGGCCATGTAAAGCTGTGCCTGTGTCTTCACAATATTAAAAACAACATTTGTTATTTACTTCTGCAATTACTTTAGACTTGGACTTCAGTTCTGTGCAGTGGAAAACATAGTAATACATTCAAGTATATCTAAACCCTAACAGGAATTATATTTATTATATTTGTATATTACAAACCTTTTCCATGGCTTGTTTCTATAAAATACTTTTTTTCACCTTTTTGCATCTCAGTGCTGCTGATCTCCATTTCCTTTCTACATGCATTAATTTCTGTGTTGACTGCACATCATTGCTCTGGATAGTGATGGGCCGAACACCCACTGTTCAGTTCGTGCTCAAACATTAAAACCTAAGGAAAGTTTAAACTTTGAACTTAATGTATGGGACTCGAACTGATAAATTCAAAAGTGCCCATTTTGGAGGCTTATATGCAAGTTATTGGCCATAAAATGGGTATGGGGACTTGGGTAATGCCCTGAGGGACATGAATCAGTGAAACATTTTTTTTCAAAAAGTACCGTTTTTAAAGGGGCAGTAATTTTTCAGTGCTTAAAGTAAAAAAAAAAAAAAAAAGAAAATTTCCTTTAAATATCATGCCTGGGGAGCCCCTTTAAACTACCTGCAAAACTGCACATCTGTACAATGTATAGAACCTGCTGCAGCAGGACTGACAATTTTTTTTAAATTCAATTTTTATTTTAAAAAAACTGCATGTGGTCTCTCCCCTAATCCATACCAGGCCATTTAGGTCTAGTAGGAAGGTTAGGAGGAACCCCACAGTAAAAAATGTTTTCTTTTAAACGTACCTGGGGTTCCCCCTAAAAGCCATACTAGGTCCTTTAGGCATGGTATGACTTTTAGGGAACCTCGCCCTCAAAAAATGAGGGGAAGAAGCATGGGTCCCCCTTAAATTCCTACCAGACTCCTGATCTGAGCCCAGGCCTGGCGGGAGGGGGGCGGGGGGGGGAAGTACAAAGGTGGACAAGGGTCTCTTCCCCACAACCCTGGGCTGTGGTTGTGGAGGTCTGTGAGGGGTGACTTATCGGAGTCTGGAAGCCCCCTTTAACAAGAGGCCCACAGATCGTGCCCCCCTTATAAATGAGTATGGGGTACATACCCCTACTCAATCACCAAAAAAGTGTAAAATGTGGATAAAAACACAAGTTTTTGACAAGTCCTTTATTAAAAAAAAAAAAAAGCCAGAACAATGGTTCCATCATTGTAAGCCATCATAAATCACGGCGTCCAGCATTGTCAAGACAATGCTGACTCGCTGAAATAAAAGAAACCCGATGCCCGCCGACCCCTCGCTGCAATCTGACATTTGACATTTGCCAATCAAATGTAAACAATTGGAAAGAGCCAGTGGTGATGTCACCGCAAGCTCCGCGCAATTGTGCTGACGTGGTCAGGTGCATTGCTTTGGCCAATCACAATGCACTATGAGAATGTAGTGCATTGTGGGGCGCGGTGAATGCCCTTACCGAACACACGAATGGCTGATGTTCGAGAAGAACTTATGTTGCGCTTTGTGAATGGGCCGCAGTTCTCTGGGACCTTGGAAGTGTCCCAGAGGGCTGCGAGGGGGGGAGGTTGGCAAACTGAGCTGAAAGTAGTAGTGGGTACCTTTCAAAACTTCCCCTCCCCTCAAAAGGTGCCAAATGGCAATGGAGGGGGGGGGGGGGGCAGAACAGTGGAGCTTCTACTTTTGGGTGGGACTCCGCTTTAACAGGTTATGGATATCTATTGATCCTAGAGACCTCTCTTATTATTATTACCTCTTATTAAGAGTGGCGATAATATATTAATCCATATTTATTTCTCTAACTTTTGTGTATCTCTGCATTAAATACCAAAGAGATAAGCATTTCAACAAATGATAATAGTAATTTTTTTAAGAGCTCTGTAGATTCCAGTGCTGCCTGTAATAATCAGTAAATAATGACCAGTAAAACACAGGAATAAAAATTTACAGTGTTTGTACCAGAAGTTCTTTAAGAAAATGGTAAAATAGTGTTTTAGAAAGAGAAAATGGATTATAGATACTGTAACTTTTCCAGTATGTTTTGAAAAAGAAGCTTAACCTCCCTAGCGGTCTGATTATGTCCATATTTCTGTGCTCAAAGCGGTACATTTTTTTGCATGGAAATATGTATTTTTTTTATTGTAGGCCTGTAATTTTTAGGAATAACTCACTGAAATCTGTCCGAACAAGAGTCTAGTAAACATCCCGGGTATGATAAAATTTAAAACATGAAATCATAAATTATAATTTAATAAATAATCATAAAAATAATAATATAATAATAAATTGAATTCAATAATATAATCAAACCAAAAACACTGAAATCTGAAATATAGCGCCAAGTTTGCACATCACTGAGCAAAGTCGCAAAATCGTTTTCAGTGTCTGATGACGAATTTCCCCACGAATCATTATCACTCAATTCTGCAAGTGGTTCTAATTTACTATCGCTGTTCTCTAGCTGGTCTAAAACCGCTTTTGACCTAAAGGGATACTTTTTGGATGCCATGGACGTTTCTCAGTTTCCAGGCAGAAAGAACAGTAAAAATGCAGGCAGGGCGCAGGACAAAGCACTAGGGACAAAATGTATGTGAAATGGTTTGATACAGTAATGTTTTACTAAGTGATTTTAGTGTATTTAGTGAATGTCACTTTTTGTCATTTTCAAATTTCCCGCCGTTCCGTCCCCCGTATGTCCCGACGCTCGCAGGGGACGGAACCCAGATGACAGATGCCGGCATCCGCCGGATTACATTGCCGGGGACACTGCAGGAGGGACATCGCGGGAGCACAGGACAAGGTAAGTGAAGAACAGATGCCGGAGCAGTGCCGCATGGTAAGCCCAAGTGTAGCTCAGGTTACCGCTTGTGGTACTGAAACTTTACCCCGAGCTACACTCAGGAATACCGCCAGGGAGGCTACTATAACTAAGAATGAATTTGCCTTTTTTATAGCCAGCAAGGTAGCTGAAGAAAGCATCATGAACACTTCTGCTCCTAAAGCATGAATTTAGGAGTTTTTGGCATTTTTTGCCAAAGCCCCTGACCTCAGCTCAGTAAAAGCCTATTTTTTTCATGCACACATAGGCTTTATCAGAGTTTAATAGCAGCAGAGTTTAGGGGCAGTTAAACGTCCCTTTTCTGAATACAGAAGAATCGAATTCAGGAGCAAAACGTTTTGGACAAAAATAGCCAAACGCTAGCCGCATTTAGAACTTGGGCGACGAAGTATCGTTTATTCCCTTTAATGGCAAATGCTGTGGCCAATTAAATGAATAAACATATAAGTGTTAAATGCGGGTAAGTGTGGTACCACGTGTTTTTGCAGCATTTAGCATTTTTCTGCTGCCAGTAGAGTTAATGCCTGTGGCACTTCTAGTGTGCATGTAGCCTTAGTTTCAGGAGATAAGGAGACCAAAGTGTTTTCAGGAGATAGGTAGAATGAACATCTAAAGCTAGCCATAGATGGATCTAATCTTGGCCTGTTCAGCAGGGACCAGCCGAGATCTGATCTATTTATGGGCAGGCTGGTTGTACTGAAGTTGATCCATCAATCAACTTCAGTACAACCAACCTGTTAAATTTTTTGCAAGTAATTAGTGGCAGTGGCAATAGCCACCAACAGTAATTACAATGTTCTGTTCAGCAGGGAGGGCTGACTGCTGACAGAACACAACAGTGCTGCGGGAGGTATTCCCCAATAAACACTTACTATGTTGATGGGGGAATCAAGTGATTTTCTTTCCTGCAACCTCTAGCACCCACCTGACAATGGCACCTATAGGCATGTACTTATGGTGTCTAAAAGAAAAATCCAGATTAAAATCCTAAGTGTAACTAAAAAACAGAAAAATCAGCACAAGGGACATTACTCACAGTCAGTAGGATGTGCTTCTTGTGCTGATTCCTCTTCTGTTAGTATCCTCCTCTGTCCATTCCAAGCCCCCCACCCCTGCAATGCAGAGTTTAATACAACAAATGGGATGTCACAAGCTCTCATCAAGATAGCCCAACTGACCCAGCATTTCTGACCAACTCCTCCATTCATAGAAACCGGTACTATAGCTTCTCTGAATGAAACAGGACCTATGAATGGAGATGGTGAAGCTATCAATCATCAATCCATCCTGGAGGAGCTGGGCGAAAAGGGCAAGCATAGTTGAGCTTTCTCGACTGACAACTGAGAGCCCTTTTAGTTGTATTAAACCCCAGCACAAGGGGCAAATCCTACTGACTTAAAAGTTATGTTCCTTGTTCTGAATTTTCTTGCATTTTATGCATTAAGGTAAAAATCCTTCAGCTTTAAAACCCCTTTAAAAAAAATTCAGAATTACAAATATCTTACATATGTCTCACTGTTCCAGCTTCTTTATTATGGTAAATAGTGCCTAATAATGTAGCAGCAAGACACATATTAAGTAGGTTGGTGATTTAACTTACATGTATCCACCCCAAGCAAAAACATTTTGGGTGGCTCAATAAGTGTGATAATGTACACGTAGAGGTGTGAATGGGCACCTACAAATCCTTAAACACAATAATAAATATCTGAACCACATGCTGTTCTCATTTTGTAGAGACCAATCTATATTATTTCTGAGGTAGTATGCAATTATGTGTACAACTGATATCTTTGAGAACAAGCATATACATAATCTCCAAAAGACTGGAAACAATATGATGCATTTACCAATGCATACAAACCTTGAGTTATAAGCTTCTAGCAATTGATTACTCTGCACCTGCATTCAGTTCAGATTAAGTGTAAGGTCTCCTGTCTCCTTCAATTTGGAGGAAGACTTAATGTGGGCTAAAGCTAATTTGTACTAGGATCATCCATAACACCTACCTATTAAAGCCACTACAAGCATGTGTTTTCACTTTTTCTCTTGTTTTGTGAAAGCACCTGCTCCCACTGGCTGCACAATGGAGATGAGGAACACAGAATGGCTTGGTATGTTGCCAGCTCTGCCCTACCTTTGTGTGAGCAGAACAAACTCTTCAATATCTCAAAGAAAGTGGATATGTCCCGCTATGAACAATGATCAACTGTTTTTGGCAGCATATTCTTTTGGCTTTCTTCACTGGCTTCACAGATACTCTTATTCGCTTAGTTAAGTTTTTCACAGTCGACGTTTGAAAGCTTGAGTTACTACTATCAGAAACACTCCTTGCCTGTTTCCACAGCCATTTTCTTTCAATGCCTTTCTTATCGGGCGGGATATCTGTGCTTTGTTGAAACACAGGAAACGCAGATTTGTATAGAAGCTGAGATCCACACAGATACCCTCTATTTGGGCTCTACAGCCTGCACCACTCTGTCTTAAAGATAGTGGCATACCTAGTACATAACATAATTTAAAGGGAAAGCTAGTAAAGTAGCCTCTGATAGTTTTGTATATACAGGAACAATTATTCTGAAAAAATGTCCCGTATTTCATTGGTGCAACAATGTTCTTGCTCATGCAAAACCACCAAGACAGACCTGTTGCTCTTGAAGGAGTAGAAAAACTGAATGATCATAAAAAGCAACCCACATTAAAGCCTAGTACACACAATGAGAAAACCTGACTAACGATTGTACAATTTTCCACAAAGGTGCGAATCATGATGTAAGCGACAATGGTATTACTTGTATGAAAATTCTCGGCCTATGTAGTTCTTTTTTGTGTATATCTATGTTCGTTGCCACCTTCTTCTGGGTCGTTCTTTACTTTTGATCATGCACGTTTCATTTCTATGTGATTATTTCCATATGATTACTGTACACATTGGGCAAATATTGGACATTGCGTTCACAGACGTTGTGTATGATAAAAATGTGCTAGCTTGCACCTTCATTTTTTCTTTGTCCGAATAGTCGGAATTAGCCATTGAAAGCACTCTATAGTGAATAGATAATTGCCTGAAATGTTCCTATGATTTTCTTATCGTGTGTACGGGTCATTACACAAACCTCAAATTATTAGAAGCCCAACAGAGAGAAAGCTTAGACTGTCATTCCCTGGTTCATGTGTCGCATAATAATTCTGGTGCAGTGACTTGGGGAACAAGTTCATTGCCTATAACAAATATTGTGGTCCTCGAGTGAGAAGCAACTTATACAGATGTTTTGCTTCCTCCCTTGACTCCTTCTTACGTTACCATTAGAGATGAGCGAATCGAACATGACGAAGTGGAATTCGTTCCGAAGATTTGGAAAAATTCTATTCGCGACGATCCGAAGATTAGCAAACTTCGGATGCACGAATCGAATTTTTCCCAAAAATGGCGGCGACATGTGTGGCGACGGAGAAAATGGAAAGAGAAGATGGGGCGGGGGGGATCTCTGGGAAGGCGCGCAGACAAGGCGCGCTGACCCATAATGCATTCATGACATGTGATCGCATTAGCCCAATCAGCAGCCAGCCAGCACAGTGTAATGGTGGAGCTATAAATCGCGGCCATCTTAGAATTCTCCATTAGCCTCCGGTCATTCAAGAGAGACAGACCTGTGTGTATTAAGGGACAGAGTTAGGGCCACAGAGACTTTAGGGCCACAGAATCGTTACTCAGGGACACAGAATCGTTACTCAGGGACACAGAATCGTTACTCAGGGACACAGAATCGTTACTTAGGGCCACAGCTATCAAAGAATCGAAAATTTAAAGTGACATACACCCTTTGTTTTTTTGGTGGCTGTCGTGCACAGTTGGTGCTGATGTTTGCCGATTGTGCAAAATAAACGGACTTTCTGCTTCACAACCACTATTGTACGTTCAAAGAGTTAAATCCATTTACACGCCGGCTGGCGGTAATATTTTTTGGGTGATTAGTGCATTCCAGTGACACAAACGTACAGTTTCCAGCCAACGGCAAGCTGCAATTGACCGATTGTGCTAAATAAACTGACTTTCTGCTTCACAACCACTATATTGTACGTTGAAAGAGTTAGATCCATTTACACGCCGGGTGGCGGTAATATTTTTTGGGTGATTAGTGCATTCCAGTGACACAAACGTACAGTTTCCAGCCAACGGCAAGCTGCAATTGACCGATTGTGTACAATAAACTGACTTTCTGCTTCACAACCACTATTGTACGTTCAAAGAGTTAGATCCATTTACACGCCGGGTGGCGGTAATATTTTTTGGGTGATTAGTGCATTCCAGTGACATAAACGTACAGTTTCCAGCCAACGGCAAGCTGCAATTGACCGATTGTGCTAAATAAACTGATTTCTGCTTCACAACCACTATTGTACGTTCAAAGAGTTAAATCCATTTACACGCCGGCTGGCGGTAATATTTTTTTGGGTGATTAGTGCATTCCAGTGACAGAAACGTACAGTTTCCAGCCAACGGCAAGCTGCAATTGACCGATTGTGTACAATAAACTGACTTTCTGCTTCACAACCACTATTGTACGTTCAAAGAGTTAAATCCATTTACACGCCGGGTGGCGGTAATATTTTTTGGGTGATTAGTGCATTCCAGTGACATAAACGTACAGTTTCCAGCCAACGGCAAGCTGCAATTGACCGATTGTGCTAAATAAACTGACTTTCTGCTTCACAACCACTATTGTACGTTGAAAGAGTTAGATCCATTTACACGCCGGCTGGCGGTAATATTTTTTTGGGTGATTAGTGCATTCCAGTGAGAAACGTACAGTTTCCAGCCAACGGCAAGCTGCAATTGACCGATTGTGTACAATAAACTGACTTTCTGCTTCACAACCACTACTGTACGTTCAAAGAGTTAAATCCATTTACACGCCGGCTGGCGGTAATATTTTTTGGGTGATTAGTGCATTCCAGTGACATAAACGTACAGTTTCCAGCCAACGGCAAGCTGCAATTGACCGATTGTGCTAAATAAACTGACTTTCTGCTTCACAACCACTATTGTACGTTCAAAGAGTTAGATCCATTTACACGCCGGGTGG